CTGACATTTCAGGAGAAATTGTTGGCAACGGGCCTTTGGGTTTCTGGGATGTTTGCCAGAGAGTTTATCTGTGTCTGTCTTCATACACTTTATTGACAGTCGCCTTCTTAGCAGGTGACAGGTGTGACCCTTTGTCCCTACTTTTCATCACATTTATTTAAAAACCCTTATCTTAGCCGTGACCCCGTGCAAACTTCAAAAGAGTCAGGTTGTGAGGAGGAAGATTTGGCTGGGACACAAAAGCTGGACTTCCTGTGGGACCAGCTGCCGCCTGGGCTCGACATTGACTTCCCAGACACTCAGGGAAATGGGCTACGGCCTCTTCCTGAGTCCAGGGATATGAGGAGGAAGTAAATCTCTCTCCCTGGGACCTGGAAAGAAGAGCCACGTGTTCAGACTGGAAACACGCTGCTTTCCCCTTGGGAGTGCTCTTGGCCAGAGTTTTGAGGGGGTTGGCCAAGTGCCAGCAAGGACACAGACAGGTCCCTCTCTTTTTCACTCTCTGCAAGTTTGAACCACACTCTCTTCTCTGGTAGGAATCCTTTCTTTTTTTTTAAAGGCAGAAGAGAAAGTGTTCTTAGAGACAATAGCAACTCAAGGGCCCCTAAAGACTGTCAACATGGAGAAAACCAGTAAGTTGTCATACGACATATGTTGTAGTGCAGCAAGACCCCCAGATGGAGTCTACACGACAGTCACCCACTGGAATCAGGGCTGGCCGAGCATCCTCAGTGGACCCCCTCACCTCCCTGGGCACATGGCCCTCCCCAGGGAAAGGCTACTTCTCACAGACATGGTGAGTTCGGAATCCAGAGGCAGAAGGCTTGGGTTGGGAAGCTGACTTCATCACCCAAGAACTTTGTGAGCTTGGGCAATGGGAACGTTTTCCACAATCAGATTCTTCACTTCTACCGACAAGACTGTAATCCGACCAGGGGTGACACAGACTAGCCCAGCACTCAGGAGACTGGAGGAGGATTTTGAATTTGCGGCCAGTCTGTGCTAGATCACGAAACCCTGTCTCAAGAAGCAAGCAATAACAAAACCCCCACCAAACCAAGTCTTGGACCTTTGCTCTTAAGTACTCAGGGTAAAGCCTAAATCTCATGGCACACCAAGCTGGCCTTTGCCTTTTCTTCTTCTGTTGTTGCTACTGGCTGGTGGGGTGGGGCAGCCGGGAGTTGATGTATACCAGGCTTACTTGACCTTAAATTCTAGCTCTATGAGTTCAGACAAGTCCTTAACCTGTCCCTGCCTTCATTTACGCCTTTGCCAAGTGGGGTTAAAAATAGCACTGATCTCATAGGATTGCGCTGGTGATTAACCGGGTAACAATGGGAAACACCCTTAGCTGTTGCCTAAAGTTGCCAGGATTTGGGTGGTGTTACATTAGGTCAGAGGGGAGGAGACAGGGAAGATGTCATCCCTTGAACCCTAGGGATGGGTCACTCAGGCAGAAGACACAGGGATAGTTTTACTTTTGAGGCGAAGAGGCAGAGTATTGCACACACCCTCCAGTCAGCCCCTCTCGCTCTTGCAGGAGCAAAGAGGAACTTCTGTGTTAATACTGTAGAGAAGGCAGGAATGGTGGCTAGGAACCTGCAGGACACTGCTGGTGACAGTGACCTCAGAGACAGAGACGAGCATCCAGCATCGGGAAGACGGGGCTTAAAGACAAGCACTGGACACGGAGATATGTAGAGTGTAGAACCCTGCCCTGGGGAGAGGAAGGAAGAGAAAATGGCTGTGTGGTCACAGCCAGCATAGACACCGTCTGAAGCCCTCCAGACCTCCCTTGGCTCGAGAGAGCTTCAGGATCTAAAGCAAGGCCAAGAGTCCATGAAATGTAGTCAGATCTCCACTATGGCTGTTCACATGAGAATTTTCCGTTTTCTCGCTTAGCCACTCAGATCTTTAGGGAGACCTGGTCTGTGTGTGGGAGCCAAATCAAGTAGGGCAAACTCAGAAGAGGAAGCTAGGTGTGGCTGATCTGGTAGAAGCCTTCACTCACCCATTCATAGCAAATATTTTTTGAGTGGCTGCTGTATGCTAGCTACCATTCTAGGATTCAACTGTATACCCGACAACGTCTTCCTTTCAGGCATTTGTAGTTGATGAGAAAAGGAGGTTATAAAAACCAAACAGGATATAATGTGATATTCCTGTGTAAAAGGAGCGGTGGGCCGCTTCCCGCCATCTGGCTCTGGCTAGCTTTACCCGAAATAATTACATGGAAACTGTATTCTTTTAAACACTGCCTGGCCCATTATCTGTAGCCTCTTATTGGCTAACTCTTACATATTGATCTAACCCATTTCTAATAATCTGTGTAGCACCACAAGGTGGTGGCTTACCAGGAGGATTCTAACCTGCGGCTGTCTCAGAGAGGAGAGTCATGGCGACTGCCTGCCTCTGCTTTCTTTCTCCCATAATTCTGTTCTGTCTATTCCACCCACCTAAGGGGTGGCCTATCAAAAAAGCCAAGGCAGTCTCTTTATTAACCAATGAAAGTAACAATAGACAGATAACCCTCCTCCATCATTCCTGGGTCCTAGGATATGGATATGTTCAGCTTTAGCAAATGCTCCGAAGAATTTTTCTAAAGTAGCTATCAGGAGTTACACCCTCAACCAACAGTGTGTGAAGATCCATATCCTTGCCAACACTTAGCAGTTTCTTTTTCATTTTAGCTTTAAATGAAGTCATTTGTGAAGTTGAGCACATTTTCAATGATTTGTTATGTCTTCTCTTTGGGTTCTCCCCTTTCTCTCCCCTTCTTTCTCTTCCTTCCCCATCCACCTCTATCTTTTTCATCTGCGATTGGCTTACTCCAGTCCACACATCCTGAAGTGGGTGCTTAATTTCTTGAAGCCAGCCAGGGAAGCGAAGAAAGCCAGTGTGGCTGGAGTAGAGGGAAGGAAACAGTGGCCAGAGAAACGGGGAGGAGGAGCACAGGTTCTGGTGAGTCTTGGTGAGGGTGTGGTTAGCAGAGGAATAGAGAGACTGGGTCACAGAGTGTAGAACCTGTTTAACAGGGTCTTTTGCCTGCGCAGATTCATGGTTCCCAGAGATGTCGGTGCACGCGTCCCCAGATTCTTCTGGCAGAGGGAATCAATGCTGCTACTTGCTGGTCTTAAGCACCCCGGTTGTCTTGATGGCCCCCACGTATTCACAGAGGTCCTTGTAAGTGGAAGACAGGCAGGTGATGAACAGCATGAGCCAGCTCTCTCAGTATTGCCAGAATTTGAGTGCAAGAAAGGGAAGGAGTTATGAGCTGCAGCGGGTAGTGTCATCTGTCATCTTGACAGAGTCCAGAGACACAGGGAGTTCTGAGCAGGCTGTCAGGGATTATCTCAATTATGTATCTTAGTCCTGAGTGGGACCATTCCCTGGAGAAGGAAGGAGAGAGAGAGGGGCGCGGGGAGAGTTTAGCAGGAACATGTATACATTCACTGCTCTCTCCTAACTGTACAAGGCACAATGTGAGCTTGTTTCCAGCCTCCGTTGACTTCACACCGCTGCTGCATCTTGATCTGTAAGTTAAAAGCCTGTCTTTCTTGACTGGCTTGGTCATGATATTCTATCCCAGCAACAGGAAAAGATTCTAGGACATCGGCGAAGGAGTGGGAAAGGCTATGAAATGGGCTCTCGAGTATGCAGAACGAACTCACGCTGCTGACACCCTGATTGTAGGTCCTTGAGGAGCATTTGAGATATGCAGCCCCAGAACTCAACTGTTTTACATCACTGTGTTAGTTCAGGTTTCTACTATTGCAATGAAACACCATGGGCCAATGTCTAAGTTAGGGTTTCTATTGCTGTGATGAGACACCATGACCACGACAACTCTTATAAAGGAGACAATCAGACGCAGCGGGGAGTCCAGACAAGCAGGAACTAGTTTATTTCCTTACAGCATGCAACTTATAAAGCAAAACCCCATGAATTCCAGAAGAAGCGGAAGGGGAATTAGCCAATCACATCAGCAGTCACGTCAGCGTGAGCTGCTGCTTCTATAGCCCCAATGGAAACACGAGGGCATCAGGCGATTTACGTCATCTTACCTCCCATCTCTAACGTCAATCATCTCCTTGTAAATAAGTCAGATCTCCCCCCCCCAACCCCCCATCCCCGCCTTGCTCCCCTGCAGCGCCATTTTGGCTGGGAGTATTCTTCACGGACTTTGCAACATCACTGTTTTTGAATTCCGCGCCCTTTTCTAACTGCTCTGCTTTTGGCGTAGCTCTTACGCTTTTGGTGCAACTGTGCCTTTTTCTAACTTTTTTTTTTTTTGCACTAATTTGGCCACTCCAGCCTCCTATATGCGCGTGCTCGATTCATCCCACCCAAAGGGTTTCTTTGGCTTATACACAGTCACATTGCTGTTCATCACTGAAAGAAATCAGGACAGGAACTCAAACAGGGCAGGAACCTGGAGGCAGGAGCTGATGCAGAGGCCGTGGAGGGGTGATACTTATTCGCTTGCTCTCATGGCTTGCTCAGCCTGCTTTCTTATAAAACACAGCACCACCGGCCCAGGGATGGCACCACCCACTATGGGCTAGGCCCTCCCCCACTGATCACTAATTGAGAAAATGCTGTAGGCATTTCTACATGGAAATGTAGGCATTTCCAGCTGTAGGCTGGAGCCATGTCCTCAGCTGGGGCTCCTTCCTCTCTGATGACTTTAGCTCGCGTAAAGTCGACACACAAACCAGCCAGTACAGTCACAGATACTATGATATTTGTTTCAGCAGCAAGAGGAAGCCAGCGTACCTCTTGTGGGTGAAGAAAGCACCCTTAAGAGGCTTTTTGATAACCAGATGAGAGGCGGAGGCAGCTTGGGCCAGGAAGAAGAAGTGGAATTGAGGCAGAAAATAAACCAGGAACGCAAAAGTGACATCACCGAGCGTTTAAATGCCCCTCCCCCATTTCCCTCACGTGATGAGGCTCAGAAGAAGAAGCACTTCCTCGAGAAGTGCTTAAAATTGCATCGAAAGTGTTTATGTTGTTTTTATGGTGCTTTGGAAGGGCCAGATGGAGGGGAGCAGTGGCTGCATGTATTCTCTCAGGAATGGGTAAACCTCAGGACACAGAATCTATAGGCACTGGCCCTGCCCCAAAATGGGGGGCTCCCTCTACCAGAGTCCACATGGAGTCTGGACTTGATTCAGCTGAAGAAGTCTTTGATGACAGGTAAGGACAGAACAAGGTAGCTGTTGTAGCTGACCCCGACCCAAGGAGCTAGCCCAGGAATTTCTCTGTCTGTAAGGAAGTGAACACCAGGGCCCTTTCTCTGGGATAATGTGAAATCAGGCTTACTTAACTAGAACTTGTCCACAGAGGCCAATTCTTCAGGCTTCTTTGGGACTAAGGGACCAGGCTCGTGGTCCAGACCACCCAGCTGACCCAGTGGCAGATCTCCCACGCAAGGGTGTGTGTGGATGTTAGAACTGCTCAGCCCAGGGAAGTTAGGAGCAGGGATATGTCTCATGTCCGTGGCAGGGGGCACACAGTTGTTCCAGCTGCTGACTTCTGAAGGTTACTTGGTGTTCTAGTTAGCGTTTCTATTGCCATGAAGAGACACCATGACCACTGCGACTCTTATAAAGAAAAACATTTGACTGGGGTTGCCTTACAGTTCAGAGATTTAGTCCATTGTCCTTATGGCAGGAAGCATGGTGGCCTAGACATGGTGCTGGAGAGGCCGTTGGAAGGTCTGGATCTTTGCAGGCAGCAGGAAGAGAGACCCTGGGACCAGCTTGAGCATGTGAAATCTCAAAGCCCACCCCCAGTGACGCATTGCCTCCAACAAGGCCACAACTACGGACCTATGGGGACTGTTTTCATTCAGATCACCACACTTGGGGAAGTTGAGCTGATTGCCCTGCTCTTCCCGGCTTCTGAGTCCACAGGGCAGGGAGAGTCAAAGGTCCTCGGTGGGATTTTCCAGATGATGGTCTTTTAAAGCCAGGCCTGAGTCCACTTCATTCTCTAATTTTTCCGAACACTGCAGATGGGTAGGTAGCCCTTGTGAAGTTAAGAGAATTCTCAACAATTCCCTACTTTCTCTTGAACAGTTCAACCTTGGATATGTTCAGAAAGGGCATTTGTCACCATCTTATGAACACTGGCTCTCATTGGGTAAGGTTCTCCCTAGAGCAGAGGTTCTTCACCTTCCTTTAATACGATTTGTTCCTCTTGTTGTGGTGACCCCCCTAGTCATAAAATTATTTCGTTGCTACTTCATAACTGCAATTTTGCTACTGTTATGAGTTGTAATGTAAATATCTGATATGCAGAATGATAGCAGATGATATTTGACCCCCCTCCCAAGGGATCCTGACCCACGGGTTGAGAACCATTGCTCTAGAGAGTGTTTTATTAGATTCAGTAGATAGTTGCACACTGGTACATACTGGTATTTCCCTATTTTATGGGTGAGGAGACTCACACTCAGCTAAGCTGGAGGATGTGCTGAAGATCAGCAATGACCATGGTAATGGATGTCTCAGCTGTCTTCCAAGTGACAACACCGACTTACAACACAAACAGCGACACTATCCTTCTCCGGTGAGCTGGTGCTGTTGGTTGAAAGAGGGGTCCTACTAGACGGGACAAACACTTTCTCTGCTGCCAGAAAAGGTGACAGAAATGGCAGCTTCCAAGTCCCCTGCTGTAGAGAGCTTGAAGTAGGGATGGTGGAAAGGCCAGAATGGGTGGGAAGGAGAGCAGCACTTGTTTCTGAAGCCACCACTGTCTCTCAAGGGGGAATGCGGATGTCCTCAGAGTCACCTTTGATCCCACACGGGAAACTTAAACAGACACTAACCCGCGAGCACATTACCACTTACCCCTCATTTTCTCATTCACAAAATTAAGTCATGATACCCTTGGGGGCGGGGGATAAGCCGCAGCGTTGGCTGTACAGTATGCAGTCAATATCACTACAGGTAGCAGATTGAGTTTAACAAGCCATATGGGTTGTAATTGTCCAAGTATGATTAATTCATAATGTTTGTTCATTTTATGTCTTAGATTATGGTTTGTTATTATTTCATCCAATTACAGCGCTAAATCCCTTTTCTAGATGGTGTTGGGAACCCTTAGGGATTTTAATGTTTCCCCAGTGACAGCCATGACCTCTCTCTGTCTCTGGACTCTGTCTGGGACTCCTTCGTATTGGCAGAAAAGGATGACGTGAAGTTGGAGCAGATGGTGCATCCGTCCGTTGCTGAACTCTACTGGCAGCCCAGAGGAAGACTTGATACTGAAGGTGCTCTAATGGCTTTCTGCTCAGTTTGTTGTAAATCCTAAATGGGGTGATTGAGGGCTGTAATGAGCAGTGTTGTTGGATGCCTCTGGCTGCAACATCTGGCGAATGCTTTCGCTAGCCGACAGGTGTTAGTCTTGGCCTCTTGCTGTGCCACCCAGACCTTTGGTTTTAAGCAGGTTGTAGATGAGGCTAGAAGCAAGTATCACTTGTTCATGTATCAAGAAGAAGAAGGAGAAAAAAAATACCCCCATAACTTTGTTTTCAGAATTAACAATCCATCTGGTAAAAAACAGAGCCCTGAGTATACTATTACGGAAGTACTTGAAAGCCAGACTTTTATTATAGTTTTTTTAGTGCAGGAATTTAAATTGATATCCTAAGCCTTGTGTAACCTCTCTCAGAGACAAATCCAAATTGCTAACAGCACCAGGGAAATCTTGAAAAATTGGCCTCCTCTCCTGAATTAGTGAAGCCAATGCAGGAGGTACAGGCAGGAAACCAAACAACCAATCCTCTTACTTTCAGAGTTCCTGCCCTGACTGTTACCAGGTACCACAGTTTTATGCTCTGCTCTGAGATGCCAAGCACCCCAATCTGAGTCCAGTACCATAGATGAACGCTGACTTTGTGCTGGGACTCCAGTGGACGCTGCTGCTGAAGATGGGGAGGATACTTAAGATGCTGCTGCTGTTGCTGCTGTTGCTGCTGCTGCCGCTGCTGCCGCCGCCGCCACCGCCGCTGCTGCTGCTGCTGCTGAGGTTGAGGAAGTCACTAGTGACATGGGAGAGGATAGCAAATCTTATCTGATGATGACATCTAAAGAACTCAATGTCTGGGAGGCCCTTATAAATGTTGATAACCCAAGATAGAAACTCTGCCAGTCAATCCGATACTTCAAAGCCTCCACCTCCAGAAATCAACTTTGACAGTGCCCAGAAATTCTATCTAGGGAAAAATGGGTTGAACCTCACGTGTGAGCTAAAAACGTGTTTGTGTGTGTGTGTGTGTGTGTGTGTGTGTGTGTGAAAGAAAACAAGGTTAGCCCATAAGACAAGTAATTTTTCTAAGATGAATACCCTCAGTGGTCCCTCTTACTTTATACAACAAGCGAGACTGAGTTTAGAGAGATTAAGGCCCCAGGTCACCCAACTGTAAGCGGTGGAAGTAGGGTTTGAGCCCATCCTCCTAATAAACTCACCAGTTCTCAACCACGACCTCCATGAAGATTCCTTAGAAGCCATTATTTTTCTTGCCAAAGAAGCTATACCCAGTTTTCATCCTGATCCCAGGCCATCTTTGTTGTCTTGGATGAAGGGTCACAGCAGACAACTGTATTTGTGAGCTCACAAAATGTGACTTTGGTTGTGAATACAATATTACAAAACCATAGTTCAGATCTTAACACCTTCCTGGGCATGAATGATGGGTATCAAATGAATGTCAGCGGTGTGGAGGAGAAGAAAGAATGCTACCTAGGGTTCAGAACAAGTCTGTCCCTCATGAGGGGTAGGAGGTGGTCAAGTTGTTGGACTTCTCTGAGTCACTTTAAAGGATAACACTAGAGTGAATGATGTCCAGGGTTCTCCATGTTGTAAGGTCCACAATTTTAAAATGATGGAAGCCACAGGTCATATGCGGAAATAACCCATATCGGTTTTGTGCCATTGCTTGTATTAATGTGAAAACGCAATTTATTTAAAGACAAGCAAACAACATTTCACTACAGTTTGAAAATGGCAAGAGGCAAACGGTGTGCTGTGAAGCCTTCCTTTCCGAGGGCTGGGGCTCACCCCTCTGGGAAGGGCCAGAGAGGCTAGTAACTGCCGGTTTCCCTGAAAAAAGGGCTGCAGTGTGGTTATGCCAAGAACTCTGTGTCGACCTGGCTCCGATCCCGGGTCTCTTGTTCATGCCTGCTCCTGCCAGCTGCTGCTTTCTGCTCTAGCTGTTTGGAATCTGGGCCTGGCAACATGGGTCTGCCTTGGCATGCCTCTTGTATGTCTCTTTCTGTGTGTGCCTGTGTCTGTGTGTGCCTGCAGACTCAGCATGTCATAATGGAGAGGAATAAAAACAGTGCCCAGATGTGGGCCTTCATCTTTACCTGTGCACTGACAAGTCAACCCTCAACTTGGACTCTCTCTCTGCAATTCCTTCCCCCCTCCCTTGATTCCTTTTGCAGTTGAGCCAGCAAAAGAGGCAGCGGAGAGAAAGCAGAGGCCGTCTCACGGGCTAAGCTAGCTGGTGGCCCAGCACCTGGAAGAGCTTTGATCTCAGCACATCTGGAGAACTGCATGGTGGAATTTTGCCTGTAGGGTGTATTACAGGGATTGAGGGGATTAGGCACTTGGGTCTCACCAGTTGTACCTGTAGCTCCATTGAGGATTGGAGGCATCTAAGTGGGTTTGTGAGGGTCTGGACTTGGGAGACAATGCTGACTAAGGCAGTGTGCGGGTGTGTGACAGCCTTTTATAGTACAGCCTAGGTCCTGCAGCCAGCACTGTTCTCTCTGTGCCTGGACTTTTCAACTCTCAATACAAATGAGCATTTCTTATGATTTTTAAGTCAGCTCTGGGTGACTGGGAGTCAAAAAAAAATCATTTAGACATTACTTTTAAATTTGTGGGAATTATGGATTTGACAAAATTTTCCTTTTCCTTTTTTTGAGTGTGTAGACTTGAACCCAGGGCATAAGTGGGCCAGGCAAATGCTCTAATATTGATATATCCTTATCCTGATTATTACCTTTCTTATTGGTATCTAATTTTGTCATACTATCCCTCACCCTTGAGCTGATTTTTGTTGGCCTTTTGCAGTACAGGCACCTGTTTCCGGGTTTTGTGGTTAGTAGGTAAGCACTGTACCACTGAGCCACGTGCCTAATTTTCAAGATAGGGTTTTACATTGGTAGCCCTGGTAGGCTTTGATCTTACTATACAGTCCTGGCTGAGCTTGGTTTTCAGAGTTGTCCTGTAAAATGGAGACTGTTTTTTCTATCCAGCCACCCAGACCTGAATAATCACACAGAATCTATATTAATTACAGCACTGTTTGATCAATGGCTCAAGTGTATTCCTAGCTAGCTCACATGTTTTTAAATTAACCCAGTTCTATTAATCTGTGTATTGCCACGAAGATGTGGCATTACCTCATTTTCTACATGTTTTGTTTCCTTGGCGATTGGCTGGCATCCTTCTCCTTCGGCAGCTATATGGCATCTGCTGGCCCCGCCTTTTTTCCTCCTTTAGTTCTGCTTGGATTTCCAGCCTTGATATATTCTGTCTGGTAATGGGGAACCTCCTTTAGCTAATGGCCGTTGAGAGACTGGGCCAGGTTGGGCGTGGCTTTGGGTACCAAAAAGGCCCTCTCGTCCTCTCTGGTTTTCACTGCTTGCCACATCTGGATGTTCAATTCTTTTCCTGTTTCCTAGTTGTAATCCGTGAGCTCTCTTTAATAAAGAACACCTTAGTAAACCATATTAGAAGCTAGTGTGGGATTCCTTTATTCATGCTACCCTTCAGCCCTGCTATAGGTCAAAGCAGCTTCTTTATTAACCAATGGAAATAAAACATATTATTTGCAGCATACAGAGGGGAATCCCACATTATTTCCCCTTTAGTATCTAAATAAAAAGGAAGGTTTTAACTTTCACATAATAAAATTACATATAACAAAACAGGTATCAAGCAAGAATTACACTTACATTATTTAGTCTATTTGTATCTGGAAAGTTTCATATCTTTTAACATAACTGAGGAAAATAATAATTGTAACTACCCATCTTCAATTCTATCAAAGGTCCCAGAAAGATATAATATTACCTAAGTAAACAGGCAGTACATTGTAAACAACTTCCACTGTGGAACTGACAGAAACATTGTCCTGCTCCAGTCTTCTGAGTACGGGGGTGACAGACCCGTGTCCTCAGGCCTGCTTCTCATTTGGTCATTCCTTCCACTGGTGTTCGTGGGTATGCTTGTCCGGAAGACAGATTAGCGAGAAGCCACCCGCCTTCCCGGAGCTAAGTGTATACAGAGAACACACCGAGTGATATCAAACCCAAAGCAGGAGATGCCAAGAAATACCTAAGAGGAGTGCTGCTGTCCAGCCCTAGGTGTGCCAGGCACAGGGAAGCCTGCTGAACACGGGGAGATCAGGTCCTGCCTCGGGCATGCCAGCCTGGTTGAGGAGAACAGCTAACATAAGAGAAATGGAACCACTGGGAGGGATGACATCACTGCCCAGCTGTGGCTACTTAGTGTCAACAGTAGTCAACTAGCATCTAGGATTAGGTCCACTCATTTGCTTCTTAATTCTAGGTTGGAACTGACAGGTTATGTGGTGATCTGGGGGCTGTGCTATTATGTAACAGACATGGTTAGATGTGTAGCTTTTCTTTTCTTTTTTTGGTTTTTCAAGGCAGGGTTTCTCTGTAGCTTTGGAGCCTGTCCTGGAACTCCCTCTGTAGACCAGGCTGGCCTCTAACTCATAGAGATCCACCAGCCTCTGCCTTCAGAGTGCTGGGATTAAAGCATGCGCCAGTCTAGGGAGGGCCACACCCAGAAATTGCACTGCTTTTTCTACCCAGTTATGTGCCGCATCTTTAATAGTCACTCAACAAACCTTTGTAAGGGAAGTGCAGGGCATCATGGTTCCTTATTGCTGCTCTGTGAAAAGTCCTAGAGCGTGGGAAGATGGGGGATTGCAGTTACCTGGGGGCTGCAGGTTCTAGACTCCTCCTCTGCCCTCCCTGTGGCTGTTCTCCCTGCTAAAGCAACCAGCTGACGCAACCCCGCATCTGGAGAGGGATGACTGAGTGCAATCCCTTCTGCCTAAAACAGTCCCAGCAGAGGGGCCATCGCGTAAGCCTTTGAGGGGACGGAGAGTGACAGCAGACAGATGGGCCCCTTGACAAGTCTGTCCCCGTGTGGTGCTCCTGTCACAACTGAATTATTCTGTCACTTGTGCTGCCACTAACTCAGGCTGAGCCAAGTAAAGGAAAGAGGAGTGTTTTCTAGTGACTTTGCCGGGGGAGGAGCGCTCCCTGGTTCCAGAAAAGCTTTATCACTTTCTAGGAGTCCAGAGAGAGGGCAGAATCGAGAAGGCAGGACGTGGGTCCTGCTTTGGTGTCATTCGCTTAGCCAGGCTCTCTCCTGTGTCCTGCCTGCCTGTATTGAAGGAACCTGGCTTTGAGCTTAGTTGTGCTGCGTCCTCACTAGCCCGCAATGCTGCCTTCACAGTGAGGGTGCTTTAGTGTGCCTGTACCTGGGAACCCTCACCTGCCAAGCTCCGATGCCCTCCTGAGTAGAACACTCAAGACCTTTTCCATCCATGTTGCTTGGTCATGCTTCAAGGACAGCTGTCCCAGGACTCTGGGATGCTCTTGGAAGAAGGGACTAGCTGCCATATCTGTGCCTCTGCTACAGTCTCTGTAAGTGACCAGGATTCGAGTCCTAGCAAATGTGGCAGCCATGGAGAATGTGGCCTATAGTGTACTAGAGCGCTTTAAAGTCGGGTCCAGAAGATGTTAATGTGATAAACACATTTAGATTCACACATTAATCTGCCTGCCTGTCTGTATGTGTGTCCAACTACCATCTTTGTATCTATCTGAGCAAACAATTTAAAATTTTTTACACGTATTTTTTTGTATGTGTGTGTGTGTGTGTGTGTGTGTGTGTGTGTACTTGCTTGAGTGTGCCAGGACACACATGTAACATTCAGAAGAAAACTTGTGGAAGTCATTTCTCTCCTTCTACCATGTGAGTACCAGGAATCAAACATTAGACTTGGTAGCCTGTGCCCTTAACCCTAAGCCATCTTGCCAATCTCATAGTTATTTTTTGCATTGCTCATTATATTCGATTTTGTTAAAGTTCCAGTCATGTTGGTGTTGATCTGCATAGTGCAACTGAGTAATAAGAGAACTTACGGAGTGCACGACCATGCCTAAAAATCATACAGTATATATCTATTATATTTAGTAGTATTATGCTTCATGGTATACTCACAGTACCATGGAGTATATAAACTTGTTCTTGCAGGGGAACCAAGTTGGGTTCCCAACACCCACATGGTCTATAATTTGAGTTCCAGGATATCAGACAGCCTAGTTTGGCCTCCTTGGGAACTAGGCATGCATGTAGCACACTTACATATATACAGTCAAATACTCATACACATAAAATTTTAAAAATTAATCTTTAAAAATTATAGGACTGATAAGAGACTTATTACTGTTGTTGTTGTTGTTGTTGTTGTTGTTGTTGTTGTAGCTGTTTTGAGTCAAGGTCTTACTCTGTAGGCCAGGCTAGCTCCAACTTGAACCCCTTCTGCCTCAACTTTCCTGAGAGCTGGGGCTGTAAGCATGTACCACCCTGCCTGGCTTTCAAGGAGTTCAATGGTTTTCAAGGAGTTTAATGCTTTATTGCTTTGTGAGAGGCTGGCGCAGTGTGGTGGATATTTAGTAATAGTCAGACTAGTTATATCCAGAGAACAATTCAGTGTGTTTAGAGCTGAGGTCTAGCTGAGTAATGGGCCTAACGATGTCAGTCCAATAAAAAGCAGACTTACTCGGTGCATACCTAGAATCCTATCATTTGGGAAGCTGAAGCAGGAGAATTTCCTCTTTGAGGTCAGTCCAGGCTACATAGGGAGCTACTATATAGTCTTGGTAAAGCAACATAACAAAACAAAGCACAGAAAAAAAACCCTCTGTCTGCATTTCCTTGGTAAGTAAGAGTGACTAGTCTGAGTGTGTGGGGGGGTGGTGTTTAATGGTGGGTGTGACTTCTCCTAAACGATGTGTTACCTTGTTCTGTTGTTGCTTTTATCTCACTGTCCTGAAAGTGCAACACATCACTGTTTCCATCTTTATCTGGCCTGCCGCTGTGGCCTGTCACCTAAGCACAAGGGGAAGCCTTGTGACTTGGGGTAGGCGTCTTTAGCAGTGCTGAGCGGTAGAGAAGTGCTTAGATTAGCAGAAATGCTAAGTAAGGGTTTATGGATTTCCCCTTATTTAGCCGAGCTAAAAATTTCTGACTCCTCAAGTTCCCTGGGAATGTGGTAACGAGACACTTTTGTGTGCTCTAGACAAAGATGTC